AGATAGCTGTCATGTGACAGATTTACCATCACTCCCACTCCCACTGCCTTCTACCAGCCCCCCCCATCTCCCCGCCATCCTGTCCACAAGCTTGAACGTGCCCACTGGAATAATTTGTGTGGGTCAGTTTAAACCAGAGCTGAGCACGGACAACAGATTTTCTTCAGCACACACACACACACACACACACAACAGACAGACAGCAAGTGGACTGTGAGGAGATATTTGCTGAGTTTGGCATAAAGTACATCAGATTAGAATCACATACTTCAACTTTGAGTTAGTAGCTACTTTGATGTTCCTCACAAAATGTAACTTATTAAACATGATGGATTACTAAATGTCCTGCAGATGTTTGGTGGTTTATGGGACTGATCAGACCTGCTCAGGTTGGAAGGTTTGCAAAGCTCTGCCAAAATACACGTGAGGTCACTTCAAAGAATGATGCAGCTATAACTCAAACAGAAACAAACGAGCAGCAAATGCCCTGAAAAAAAAAAAGAGTCATTTTTATCTTGCTTTACACAATCTAAGACTCGGAGAAAAGCACCATTCGGGATATTTTTACACTGGATAACTGAAAGCACATTTTGTTAATACTCATGAATTGAATACAGGACTTGTACCTGTAATGGAGTATTTAGATTATATAGTATTGTTACTTTCATCTGAGTACAGGATCAGAGCAGTCCTCCCACCACAGAGTGGTTCTACAGTGTTCTGTACAGTGTCGTGTTATTTAAGGTAGATTTATATTGTATTGTTTGTTTAGTGTTCTGATGCACTGGGCTTCTCTCCCAGCAGACACACAACCATCCCTCAGTTCCTGAAAAGAGGCTATAAGTGTTTAAACTGACTCTAAACATAAACAAATCAACCAAATTTCCAACCCTGGCAGACCAAAAAGGTAAAAAAAAAAAAAACAGGGCAACTGAAGTTACACAAAAATTCTAAGCAAGTGTTGTTTGCAAAGTGAGCGAGCTCCAGTTAAAATACATGACGGGAAAGTTATAATCACCGCCTGTCTACGTGCATGGAGTCAGGCTCTGATATAAACTCCAGAGGCCACATTTACAGACATTGCTTATTGTTTTATTTCAGGTTGAGACAAACACAAATCCGCAGGGTGACTTGGACACCCTCAAATACTTGTTGGATGACATCACTGGCCATTTGTGACCTTTTGCATTGTGGAAAGCAGCAAAACATGCTCTCATCCTGGAAGCTCAGACGGTAACACATACCATCGTGCAATCAGACGGCCGCAATACGTGACCTCTCTGAATTGGCCCGGCAGCCACTTACAACCAGAAAGTATGTGACCTAAAACCATCCGAAAACAAACTGACCATCAGTCCGGGGTCCAGTCACTCACTGGCTACTGAGTGTGGGCAGCAGGGATGCATGGGTGTTACCCTGCTGCCGCTGGAGATCAAGTGGTGGTGGACCTCTGGAATGCCCGTGGCAAGGATGTGGGCGGCAGTTCTCAGCTGGGATGCCCTGCCACTGCAGTGGTTCCCAGAGTATCAGGTTCTGGGAAACCCCCCATGGTTCTCATAAGAGGACAGCTGGTGCCAAACCTCCTGCCACTGCTCCCCTAACCTCTCTACTGTCCGCAGGATGTGTAGGAGGACGTCAGAATGTGGCTCTGATGCAGGAGGTCAGTGTGCGGGTGCATCGACCACTAACCATGAGAAACACAGGTTTACCGGAACTGGAACTGTTGTCTGGTTGATCGATAAGTCAGTCAAAAAAAATGACATTTTTAAAGCTAAAATGTAAAACACTTGGTGGTGTAAGTGTCACAGATATGTGGCTTTTCTGCACTTTGTTAATATGATAGTAAATGATGTATTTGGAGGTTTTGGTCATGCATCTGAAGGTATCGTCTTGGCCTGTGGGAGCTTGTGATGGACATTTTATTTATAAGTTTAAGTAAATGATAAACAGATTGACTAATAATGAAAATAAGCATTAGTTTCAGAATTTGTTGAAACAGCTAAATATTGCCACTCTATAAAATAATAATATTAAAATAATTATAATCAAGCATAGCTTGGCCTCAGGACAGCAGGCTGACCCATTTTTACTTTCACACAGTCAGCACAACTTAACAAGCAAAACGTCAGGCAGCTTATAAAAGTGACCACATGGGGACCAGAAAAAACACACAGCTGGACCACACACACACACACACACACACACACACACACACACACACCCAGGATGGTCATTTGTTATTAGTGTATACATAGCTAGCTTTGCGTTGCTGTGCTTGGCTGTGCGTGGAGCAGCCTGAGAACGCAGTGGCCCGGCTTCGCTCTGTTACAACTGTGGCACTGAACCTGCAAACCCACAAACCAAGGGGTCTCCATCTCTCTCTCTCTCACACACACACACACACACACACACACACACACACACACAGCCTGACTTCTGTTGCTGCAAACTCTACAGGTAATGATGGATTGTGGGCCTGCCAGAGAAAAATTCACATACTGTAACAAATGTTCTCCTGAGCTGCTTCGTGCTCCCAGCGGTGGTGATGCTCTGTCTCTCTGTGTAAAGAGTGTGCGTGTGTGTGATGTACGAGTGTGTGCAGACGATGTGGGCTGAGATGATGGGCTGCTCTCTGGGGAACAGCACTCCTTCCTGTTCCCTGTTACAATCCCACCTGATTCACGACACCAGCACGACGCTGTCTCGTGTCAGCTCTGGGGAGCGTACTGTGTAAACTGCGATAAAAACACACTGTCAGTAGTAGGAGTCAGGCACTGTGAGGTCATGCAGGTTTAGAGGGCGAGTTGGCACCTGTTTGTCTTTCAGAAAATCGCCCAAACCGTCTTGCTGTAACTTCCCCCGCCTAGTGACCAGACGGAGATTGTGACACTGACTTTAAATGTTGTACAAGAGGGATGAGGTGGAAGAAGTTTGCAACATACAGTACAATAATACATGCCCAGTGAGTCATTGCCTCTCTTCCTGTCTAACCCCCTATTACAGTCAGAGCCAAGAAGCAAACTACACAGCCACGTTATCTTGGCTCTTCTCAGAAGCCAAGTGCAGCTGGGAGAGCAGAGCAGAGAGCAGAGCAGAGAGCAGAGCAGCGAGCAGGGCAGCGGTGCAGCTGTGACGTGTATGGCCTGTAGCAGAAAAGTGGGTAAGAGGTACATCTCACCTCCCTAAAAACGCTCGCAGACATGACAAGTCGTCCAGCAGTTCTCTGCTTGACACGAATCCCTTCTTACATGTGCGTAAGACGTTAAAGAAAGGCAGGGAAAAACTCACGGCTGAATCTTTTCCGGTGGCTCTTCTGCGTCTCCCTCTGACCAGTGTGCGCTGGCTGCGGTGCTCCCGGCTGAGTTGGCGTGCAGAAGTGGATCCCTGAAACTCCTGCCTGTGTGACCCTGAGAGAGTGAGTGGGGAGACCGACAGCTGGAGCAGCTGAACACATGCAGAGGGAGGGAGAGAGAGAGCGAGCGAGCCCGAGACACGGAGGAAGAGAGAGAGGGAGGAGAGAGGGACAGCCCCTTCTTACCCCCCCTCTGGCCCCCTGCACTGCCATCCTCCACTCTCCAAGCCCCCTCTCCCTGACCCCCCAGGATGCAAATTCCTGGTCTGCGGCCCAAATACCAAAATTCCAAATCCGTCCAAATCACAGGCACAACAACAACTCAGATTCACACACATGCCCCCCCATCTTCTTACCCAGTGCCCCCTCTTACTGGTCCCACAACACACCTGGTTTCATTTAAACTAAACCCCCGCAAAAGCCCCGAGCTCTCCCACCCTTTCCTCCCTCCCTTTTCCCACTTACCCCCCATCTATCTATACTTACCTCCCCCATCTTTTCCCTTTTTTTTCTTTCCATAAAGCGACTGAAGCCCTCGCTCTCGTCCAATCTGACATGCAGGATATTTATAGCTGGGGAGAGAGAAGTTAATGGAATGTGGACAAAAATTAGAGACTGGAAGAGAGAGTGTGTGTGTGTGTGTGTGTGAGTGAGTGTGTGTGTGTGTGTGGAGAGCGACTCGGAAAATTTGTCAGCTTATTTTTCAGAATAAACCAGCGTTGCTTTCTGGGATAAAATGCAGAAACTAAACGGCTGTCATTATTCTTGACCCACACAGCAACTCTGCTCTTCTCTGTTTGGACATGACTAATCCATTACTGCACTTGGAATCATTTCCGGCAATGTTTTTTTTTTCTTGCAAAATTTGCCGTCTGCTATGTTGCAAACAGGTTAAGATGTTGCTTAACCCAAGCTAGTCCTTATTAGTTTAAGTCTGACTCAACTTAATGTCAAACTTTAAGGTCACCCTTCGGCGTGGAACAAATTATAGTCTCTTCAAAATGGCATGAGCAGGAGCAGGAGCAGCAGCTACGTTTGTACAACTGCAGGTTTTCACCTATTAAAAAATCATAGCCTGCATTAAAGTTTACAAGTGAATATTTTTAACAGACATTCCATTTTTAGAAACAGAGCAATAGTGGTATTTTTCTCCAGTTTTTTTTTTTTTTTTTTTAAAGTAAACCTCCAGTGTTTTGGTTTTAAAATCTTTACTTAGCCCCAGGGTGTTTATCTGCCCTGTGTGTCTGTGTGGTGGCAGAGATGGCAGCTGTCATTACAGGGGATGTTGTTAAAAATCACACTGACAACCCCCTCGCTGGACAAACTGTAGCCCCCCTCTTGGTTGCTCCCATATTCCCATGACCACACACAGACATCCCACACATTGGCTGGAGTCTCAGTTCATCATATATGCGATCTGCTCGTCCTGTGAAGCAGCGATTTGCGAATCTGCCATCTTCACTTTCGCAGCATGATTTGCATCTCCTTTTTCTTTTCTGTCTCTTATCTCCACCCAACACCCACAAGATCAGTAAATCCTGTTTCTGGGATGGGTTAATGATAACATCTTTTCCATATAACACCACAGATTAAATGCTAACATAAAGCAGAAAGACATGTTAAATGGTAATAGAAAACAGAACGCCAATTTGATGTAAATACGCTAATTTTATTTACAGACCAAATTTACAGACACTGAAGGGACACGGGGGGGGGGGATCTGAAGCGATACTGGAAGCAAATTCATCACCGCTGACGGAACGAAGGAACAAAATAACGGCCTCAGTCAGGGGAAAACCAACGGAAGGGAGAGCGAGGAGAAAAGAAGGGCGAGCCGTGAAAGAAACGCTTCAGTCGTGATACATTTTGAAGATACAGCTTTTGATGACGCCCATGTATCTGTCCCACACGACCTGATGTCTGAGGGGTAGAAAGAGAGACAGAAAGAGTTAGTAAGTGGAGCAAAGAGGCACTATAAGTCTCATGAGAAACTGTAATTGTGAAATCTGGGTGAAGAGAGTAAATGAGGCAATCTTTGTCCCTCCAGTGTAAAGGCGGGGAGTGTGGGGGGGTCTATGTTTCTTTTTATGAATATCTCTTTGTTAAGCTTGTAGTGGTGTAGGGCTGTGTAAACCCTTAACTACATTCCTGAGTGTTTGCATGAGAAACAAGGTAACTACAGTTTAAGAAATCATGGGCGAGATAGGGAGACACCCACTGGTAGAACAGGGACGTCAGTTTTAGAGAGAATTTCAACATACGACTTCATGCTTGAGCAGCGTTTGATAACTGCTGATGTGTATATCCTTATAGGGTTAATTATTTTGTTTTCCAAAGCGCTTGACTGTATTTTTATCAGGGGTTACCCCTGGGAACTGATAACGCTGGCATGACTGTAACCACGCTCCACCTGATAAGGTACGGAGAATAAAAGCACATTAACTCACTTGAATGTGTCAAGTATGTGTGCAGAGTTGGTGTAGTGAGTGAGGTAGAGTTTCATGTCCGCAGCTGTCCATCGGTCTGAACGGCATGGCTCAATAAACTGGGGGGGGAAACAGAAATGGGTGAAGGTTGCATCATACTGCCTCAAAGGCAGACAGAAACTGGCATAGACGTCAGAAAATTTGGGCAGGATGAGCTGTCTTTACTTACAACTTGGGAAAAAAAGAAACAATACTTTGATGATGAATTCTCACCTTTTCCACAAGATCAATAAAAAAGTCTCTGACATCTTTTGTGTTGGTTAACTTTGCAGCGATGTTGACAAGGCCTCTGGAAAGATTCTAAAAAAAACAAAGAAATAATTACATTTTTTTTTTTTAATGTATTTCGTCTTACTTTAAAAGGAACAGACAGATTATGTTTAGGGTTTTATGAGGGTCTAATGTTTGTCACCTTAAAATTAGCCTCCATCTCATTAAAAGCTTTAGTCTTTCCTCTGAGAGCTGTACAGACCAAACTGAGCAGAGAGGAGACAGAAAGTACATATAAGAGAGAGGAGATAAAATAAAGTGAGATTAGAAAGCCTGAATATTTTTCAGTAATCAGCAAAAGCTGGAGTTTAGAATGTGTTTCTGTTACCTTTTGTGTTGATCCAGCAGATCTTTATCAGTGATTAAAATCTTAAGTTCTTTCAGCTCTTGTAGAAACTCTTTATCAAGATCGACGTCCATGTCTTCCACCATGTTATCTACAAAGAAAACTCAAGTCAGACACTGTCAAATCAGCTTAAATTGTGTTTTTTCTTGATATAATTAGCAGCGTCTACTCTTTAGCTTACAATAACAGTTTGGTTATTGTGTCATTACTCAGTGTCTATGTAACTCAAATAACCTTCATCACTTACAAATTTATTCTGATGAGGACCCACAAAACCTGAAGGACCTCTGGTGGTCAGTGGGCTGCACTGACAAAGCTCTAAATGTTATTCATTAAACACAATTAGCATAGATAGCATATCTGTTACTCTCATTTTAAGTCCTTTTTAAAATTTGTTGCAGACTTTCAAGTATTTATTGTACATTTTTATTCTTTTTGGATTTACCACTAATACTTAACCACTCTGTAAACCTTAAACCTAGAGACGATACGTCAGTGCCATTTGCTTAATGTGTTGCAGAACTGGGGAAAACGGTATATGTGTCTCCCACATCATATGCAACCAGAGCGGCCAAAGGAAACAACAAATATCACTCACCAACGGCCCCAACTGTCCAGTTGTTGATAAGCTGCCCGGCACAGAAAGCAAAGTCCTGGAAAGTGAGATATTGCAGCTTTCTTTTCCCTGTCTCAAAGCGATTGTTGGCAAAGAAAACAATGGCAGCGTAATCCCTGAAATAAGCAGAGGAGACATAGGAGATAACATAATAAAACAGGACAATCAGATAGTGGGCTAAATATCCTGAATACTGGCCTTTTCATGTTGTATTTTGTTCAAAGTTGTTACAAAACCCTATAATAAAGTATCATAAAAGCTACAACAAATGTAAAGTCAAACTAATGCTTAGAAAAGTGAAAGTGTGCACTCTGCTCTCCTCTGTGATTACCTTGCAAGCTTGTCAGAGAGAAGAAAATGCTGACGTATGTTCTCCACCAGGGGTCCCTTTAGCTCTTCCACTACTTTGAAAACGCGTTTGAAGTTGTCAAACTGAAATTAAACATATGAAGCAGGAGATGTACTAAAATTGCAACAATGTGACTTGTGCAAAACCTGCACAAGAATTTGCTCTGTAATCAGCTATCCTATGACAACTAATCAACTTTACCCACCACTACAAAATCAGTTTGGTCACATGTTGAAACCTGCCATTTACACAAAACTAAGGAAAGCAACTGCAATATGATTATATATTATAGCCACTATGATATGAAAATTCAGAGCAGAACCTCAACCAAACCAATGTTTCAAAACGTAACTGTGTTTAACTGCTCGTTGATAATGGAAATGATAAAATCACTGTAGTGCTTAGAACCTGTCGTCTGCAGCTTTTCAGTGTCACACTTGTCTTGGCACTGATATCGTCCAAGTCTTTCTTCGTTCCTTTGGAGAGTTTCTTCCCCAGGACCTCACGAACAAATGCATCATCAAAGGCATAATATCTAAACAAGGATAGACACAAAAGAAGAAACTCCTTAATATATAGTATTATCTGCAATGTCAAAAACAAGAATAGGGTAAAGTAAGGAGGTTGAGCAATAAATACATGCCATAAGTAAAGAACAACCTAGTTTGGGCCAGAAAAGGATTCATGAATCCTTAAGAACCAATGAGATAATTAAATGAGAATGAATGAGAGCATCATTGCTGCACCTCTCTATGAGAACGGTCTGTCGATGGGGTGGGATCTGGAACAGCAGCTGGTTGGCCAGTTTCGCTGGACTGTGCAGCAGACGCTCACACATCTGGAAAGTCCTGTACTGGTCCATAGTGTCACTCAGCAGAACATCTGCACTTGCTTCACACTCATCCATTACTCCTCCCTCCATGCGGACCTTCACTGCATCATTCACTGTTGGATTAAAAAACACATATTAGCTGAGGATGTATGTAATAACAGGTGATATCACAGTTACTGCTGTGCTGTGAATAATCAGCGCCTACTTCATAATTCATATTGGTGGCTTCTCATTGTGCAAGACATGAAGGCTGATGCTGCAGTCTTGATACAGAAAACTATAGACTTCATTGAGGGTTTTCCTAACATTTGGCTCAAGACACTCAAAAGCTATTCAGAAATGTATATATTACCAATAGGTTATTCAAACTGTGATGTTGCTGATGTAAATTGTGTAGCAGAATCAAGTTTTGTTTTTCTGTTTTGTTGATCATTTTGAGACAGCAATTGTGTCTGGGTGATAGAACGATAGAGACTCCATCAATAACAAGAAGAAAATAGTTTGATAGAATAATCAATAGTTTCACTTAAATGCATCTAATGCAAACCGCTATGAGAACACATAACGCACATGCAAAGCTGAGTTGCTTGCACAACCCCAAGCGTGCTCTCAGTGGTCAATAAACAGCCCATTATATTAATAGATAATGGAGCTCCCTCATTACTTTAACCTGGCTGCCATGCACATCTTTTAAGGCGTGTCAGTCAGTGGCTGCCTGCCGCCTCTTGTCAACTCTGTTTGCATCCACAGACCTCTCCTGGTGAAGGCTACGATCAGCGGCTCCCCCTCGTCAGACAAGCTTTGCAATCAAAAAACATTAAAGACTCTGTTCCCTCCTCCACGTAAGCAATGTGCTTCTTTATTTGCCTGTATCAAGGTAAGATCATTCCTTTATTCTTATTTATTGATATTTATGTGTAAGTTTGTGGTTTTAATTGTTAACAATAAAATCATCAATATTGACCGAAACATTTTATTGTTATATCACCCAGCCCTACATTAGATTACGTTTTGAGTCACATTCCAGTTGAATCCAGATTTGTTTTGATCCTTATTAAAACCCACCAGAACTATGTAAAAGCAAATATACTCATCAGTTCACTGTGACCCAGACATCCATATGTCTATGGTGGTATTCATACCTGTGTATCCATCCAACCAGAGCTGGTAAACTTCCTCATCCATGATAGTGGTGTTACCTACGAACACATCCAGCTCTACTGCCATCTGCGTAGGGTAAAAGAGCAAAAGCAAGAGATGTTCAATATGTACCGTTTGGCTTCAGTAACCATCAACAATCAGCTGTCTGATGAGCTCAAAAATGAACAAGAGTCAGGAGGTGATAATATACCTTGTTTTGAGTGTTGTCCCGACAAGTTTCACGCACTTAGCTGGGATTAAAACCCGCCTACAAAGTGTAATTCTATTAGCTGGATTTAAATTTGCTCTCCATGGCTCACTAATTAGCTAACTTCCTCCATTAACGGTTAGCCTCCGATGCTAGCTACGACGCAAAGTTGGCAGCCGTCAGCGGACAGTAAACGGACAACCAGAGTACAGAACGATCAATTAAAACCACCTTGACACGACGGTATAAACAAGTAGCCGGCACAAGCGTAAAGTTTGGTATTTAAAACACGAACATGTATGAAACGTTAGCGTCCCTGAGGTGCTGTTGGTGCGCAGTGTCAACAACAGCAGGCACGCAGCGCACACTTCCGGCTCCGTGACGTCACATGGGAGAAGGAAAAAACAAAAAGAAAAAACATGTTTGAAAAAACGTGTTTGACCGAGATTGTCTTGACTCTTATTATCGCCATATTATTATTTTTAAAAAATTATTATTGTTTTAATCATCAAAAGAAATCACCATAAAATTATCACATAGTCATCACAAAACAAAAAGCTGCGAAGATATACCGTTTTTCTACTTTAGATATTAAAATATATATTGATATTTTCGTCTTTATTTAAGCTCACTCCATTTCTCATACCATCTCAATAATATTTATACAAAGGGTTTTTTTCATGTTGATGTTTTATCACTTAAGTTGCTTTGTTTATTCCATTTTGGCAAATATGTGTACCCTGACATTTTAATAAAATAAAATAAAATAAATTAAAATAAAATAAAATAATAATAATTGTATTAGTAGTACCAGTGGTAGTAATGGTACTAATAGTAACACTATTTAACTATTCAACAATTTCCCTGAGGTTTGCACCAAAGGGATCAATAAAGTTCTGTTCTATTCTATTCTATTCTATTCTATTCTATTCTATTCTATTCTATTCTACTACTAATAATAATTGTATTAATATACCACTAAAAACTCAAAAAAAATTACACAACACATTTGAAACAACAACCATTAAGCCAATAAGTGCTTTCCAATAGTAAAATAATACTTTCATTCCAAGTTGAAGTTGAATATTAAGACTAACAGTGTTTTAAAAGTAAAAATTAACTAGCACGTATATGTACAAAGGTTTACACCCTACAATAACATTTATTGCACAAACTTACCTAATTATTCTAATAATAAGGTTAGAAACCTATAGTGTCCTATACATAGCAACCTGACTAATACAGATATTAATTAAAGTCAAAATCCTATATAAGTATACATGGAAATTCCAATGAATCTAAAGAGTCCCTTTGACAAACAGCACACAAGAGAACACAAAAACTGGGGACGTTGGTCAGACAAGTAACTGTAGACCAGAAACTTGTACTGTGCAGTCGGAGATACCTGCTAAGTGGAAAACCACAAACGTCAGAAGTAAGAAGTAACAAAGTTAGTGACGTGTACGTTTGTGATATCAACACATGGTGAGAAAAAAGATAGAAAAGAGGAGGAGGGGTGCTCAGTGCATTATGGAAAGTCCCACCGCAGTGTGGACCTACAGCAGCACAGCTAGGGTATGGTTTTGGGGCCAGCCCTTTTTTCAAAAAGGAAAGTTTTGAGTCTAATCATAAAAGTAAAAGTTAAAGGGTGTCTGCCTCCCAAATCTAAGCTGGGAGCTGATTCTACCGGAGAAGAGTCTGATAACTGAAGGCTCTGCTCCTGTTCTGCTTTAGAAAACTATAAGAACCACAAGTAAACCTGCAGTCTGAGAGCTCTGCTGGGATATTACAGTACAATAAGGTATTTAGGCGACGGTGGAGCTGTGTCATTAAGGGCTTTACATGTGAGGTGAAGGATTTTCAATTTTATCCTGGATTTTACAGGGAGCCAATGAAGAGAAGGTAATATGGGAGAAATATGATCTCTCTTACTGTTTCCTGTCAGAACTTTCACCGCAACAAGCACAAGACAGGCTATAAAGAGTTTGTAGTTAAATGATCGCATATTGTTATAGTGTTGATCAGAGGATTTCTCATATCTTCTGCATCACCAATAAATGACGCAGAGAATGCTGTGTACACATTTTAAGACCCAACGTGTGTTTTTAATCTAATTCTGTCAGCTCATCATTGTTACAATTAATAGACAATGTGTCTTCATTATGAAACAGTTAATTTCTCACCAGAGCCTTCAGAGCTTTTCAATTTACTGTAACTGGCTTAAACATTAATTTTATGGATTTCTGCAACAGAGCCAAAACAGATTCCTCTCATCCATTGTTGGTAGGACGTGGCACAACTCCAAGACTGATGCCCATAAATTAGGCATAATATAAATAATAATGACAATAGGACATTATTTCTAGTTTTATTCACTGGATTTTAGGTGCCAATTAAATAATGGACTTCAGCAGTGGTCCTGACAAGTAAACATGCAGCTTAATACTGGTACAGGCAAAAGTGCAGTGTAGACAAATGTAGTTTTATTTAGTGTAGTGACAATGCAGTATTTAAAAAAAATAAGTCATTATTATGGAAAGCTTGAGAAACAGTCCCATCATTTGTTAAAGTGAGAGTGTACATTCTATTTTTTTTTTTAATTGTTTGGGCTCACCAAAAAAAACAAGCGCAAGTGTGTGAATCACTTTATTTGAGGTTTGACAACTTCTGATGAAATAACGGTCAGCCAACAAACTACGGGGAGTTAGGGAGAATTAGCTTTTCCTCTACAATCAAATGTATTTTCAATTACCACTTACTTAGTAACCAATAACATAAACACACGTTATAACTGAGTTGCTCATAAAAATTCAAGCTCTTCCAACTAGTTTTTTAAAAAGCAATTTTTAAGTGTCATACTTAATCACCATAAAAAAAAGAACACGCATTTTTAAGTTGCCAACGGTTTAAAAAATGAAGTAGCCTCAATTAGATTTTCCTTATCTTTTTCAGGTCTTTGTTCATGTAGCTTTTAAGAAAATGAATAATTCAGCAGCAAAAGTTTGGACTGCAGATATGTTTTTGAATACTGTCCCAGGAATGTCCCCTTGAAATGTCTTTTGTATTATATTTGTTTAACCTACATGTCTTCTAACACAAGGCCTTAACAGACTGAATTTGTCCAGACATTTTAAGACAGAGGAGGGGGATGAAAATCTTGAACTCATGTTTAAGTACAAGTAAGATATCAAACCAATTTCTTTAGCTTAGTGCAATGTGAATATGGTTTCAAAACAATTAACACAAGTAATTGAGCTGAATTTACATACGACATTAAGTAAATGCAATTACGAACTTTATTATGTCAACACAACTCAACAAAGTTGTGTTTGCAGCTTAAAAGGTTTATGTCAATCAGTGAATTAGATTTTATTTTCTCTTGCAACCATGCATTTAATGGAGTTGTGAGAACAGAACCCAGAATTAAAGACTTTAGCTTGCTCCACTTAAACTACTCTGATGGATGGTGATGTCACACTAAAAATAGATAATAAACCCAAAAAACACTATAAATGGCATCTCAGTTTACAGTGGAGACCCAAGTCCCTGAACTCAACACACACCATTCATTTTAAGAAAGCCTTCAGTGATCACAGGAAAACCTAATGACAATGGACGATTATGTGAAGACTCAAATTACAGCATTGCATTTGGCAGATAGGCAGTGGCCTATTATGGATCTCTGTCCTTTCATTTGTGCTCTTAGTTATTATAAAACATGTCAGATCACAGATAGGCCTCTGTGGGGCCCCTGCAGTTGTGCGCTTTGCTTGCTCTGCCTGGTTGTACACAATCTGCTCTCTTTTCCTCTAAAGATTAATCTAAATAAATCCCCACAAATCCCTCTCCTCACCCTCCCTTTCTGTGTTTCTGCATGTGTCCTTCAAAATCACAACATGAGGGAAATCGACTCAGTCAACATGTCTTTTTTGTGTGTCGGACCTCTGGCTTCACATCAACGCTCTCGTTTCTAACCTCACATGACACCCTGATTCCATCCCCAGATCCCCCTTGCACGGTTAACACCCTACATTGTTATGGCCTCAGTGAAACAATGGAGGTGGGACAGAGGGCGGAAGGATGTGGCTGAATGCCTCAGCATAAACCCATGGAAAAAAAAAAAAAAAAAAGGCCTGCAGTCACACTTTCCGCCTGTGTTCTTTGAAAAGGAACAAGTACAACCAGGAGTCTCCTATGATACACTGAACTGTACATACAGTGAATTCTGAAGGCATGTAGGACAAAGTAGAGCCTAGTTTTTTTAGGGCAGGAACATTGTAATGAACAGAAATCCCCAGAGGAAGTGGCTCCACACAGGCCTTTCCTATTCACTCTCATTATAAATCCTACCTATACATGTTGTTTTAGTCTCATAGCAAGAAAATGCTAAATAATAATAATAATATGGCTTTGGATCCAAACGGGGGCGCACAAGCTCCTTATTGTGGGAACGCATGGAGCTGATGTTCATCCTCAAATCTTCATGTTTATCAGCCAGCTGAGAGCTTCAGGGTCCCATCAGCTCCACCACAGAACTAGTCTCTTGAGTTTACCACCGTGCTACAGGCCCTAAACCTGGCACGTCGAAAAGCCACTGGAAGCATCAAAGGAAACCACAAGCATTTCAGATTACTATCTAAACCAATGTGTCACATTAGCACTAAGCATAAAAAAAACAGTCTGGCCTAAAACTTCCCGTGAGGACACGCAAAATAAAACCGGGGCTGCTGAGGATCGTGTTGGCACTGAAACACGAGCAGGACCAACACACCATAAATGAAAGTCAAAGCTGTGACACGTAAGAAATCTGCATTGTAACTGTCAAAGCATATCCGATTAAACAAGTTTCTTTATTTTTTCTTGTTTAAAAGCGTAACCAGTGGATGCTTTTATGCTGAAGGCCGCTCAGGCAGCCCTCTGCTGGAGCTGCAGCTTTACGCACAGCGCGCCGCTCAGCAGAGTCACTGCCGTGGAAGTGGCGGAGGCGGACATTGTTGTGGTAACAGGCAGCTTCAGAGGATGAGCACAGATGATGCACTTACTCTGAGCGGATAACGGGTGAGATTGGATTTTGATTTATTCGGTTTTCAATCTAAAGAATGAATCGTTTTTGATAAAAACCCAGCAAAGCGCCGCTGCACCGCGCGGACTCTCCCTGCAGCCAAACCGGAGTTCATTCAGCCGAGGCGAGCCGGAGCTCAGCCTGATGAGACGATGCCAGCGACGTAAAAATCACAACATCTGCAGGGTGTGCATCGGAGGCTGCTGGATTAAGCCTCCGTGGATCGACTGGGCCTCGGCGGTACGGAGAAGCCCACCGGGGGCGGCTGCTGCCTTCAAAATACTGCGAGTTCAGGAGGAATAAGGACTGCTGTGCTCCCGGAGGCCTTTGGAGAACACAGGCTGCTGTTGGGAGGATGACAGATTGACATTAATGGGGGTTTGCAGTGTGTTTTCCGACACGACCTCATTAAGGCATCTTCCACGGAGAACAAATAGTGACTTCAAGACGAAACAGGACTGATGTCACGGCGCCTCGAAGAAAACAACATCTAAATAAAGATATCACATGTTTCTGCCTTGATTTTATCTCCGGTGCTGTAGTGGTTGCATACATGACATCTGGAACACAGCGGATGCAGATGAGGATGAGTGTTGAGCATTAAATAGAGCAACATCTCAGCGCTTCTCATACATTCTCAGGTACCCATAGGTGTTTTTATACAAGAAGAAAAAAAATGGGTAGCGAAGGTGAGATAATAAACAGAGAACTGTCAAAGATGTCTGACGAGGATTTGCTGGCGTGCTCCAAAGAGGAGCTGGTGAGCCGGCTGCGTAAAGAGGAGTCCGAGAAAATATCAGCTCTGATCCAGCGCGGACGGCTGATCAAGGAGGTAAATAAACAGCTCCAGGGACACCTCCTGGAGATCAGGGAACTGAAAGTCATCAATCAGCGCCTGCAGGAGGAAAACGTGGAGCTGCGGGACCTATGCTGCTTCCTGGACGACGACCGGCTCAAAGTGAAGAAGCTGGCCCGGGAATGGCAGCTGTTTGGCCACCACGCAGCCAAAGTGATGCGGGAGGACCTAGGCGGCTACTTGAAAAAGCTCGCCGATCTGGAGCGCATGCAGGACGGGCTGGTGAAGGAGAACCTGGACCTGAAGGAGCTGTGCCTGGTCCTGGAGGAGGAGTGTGTCAGCAGGAGCGACTCCAGCCCAGGAGGCTCCACCGAGCTCAACCTGCCCTGTATGGTGGCCCGGGACCTGGGGGACGGCAGCTCCAGCACAGGCAGCGTGGGCAGCCCAGACCAGCTTCACCTCGTGTGCTCACCTGACGACTGATGGCAGCTTAATGTCAGCAGTCTGGAGCTTCTCCGCTTTACAGAGGAGACTAGGGCTAATGTGATTGACAGATTGGAGACACAGGCTCTGCCAGACACTACAAAATAATCTGAATAAGAGAAGAAGAAAAAAAACAAACAAGAACAAGCATTAGGGCCTTCTGAATGCTGCAAAGATGTGTGTGTGTGTGCCACTAGGTTTAGACTTGACAAAGATTCTCCCACACTTCACCTTTCAGGACTTTACAAAGACATTTAATAGATGTTTGCCAGATGATAATGTATCGAAATTTTACAGTGTTTTTTCTATTCTGCAATTTCTCCTTTTTCAGTGGTCTGGTATTGAAAGAAAAAAAAAAGAAATGGGACCAAAAAAGTGGGTCACATAATATAAATTTATCTCATGCACTGGACTAGCCTACACTGGTAGAAGCCTTTTTTGTATTGCACTGGACAGCATTATCTTGGATCTTTAAATCGCAGATCTAAAGATTCATTTCAATCCAGTTTTGAGCCATATTTAGTCCACTGAATTCCAATAGCACTGAAATAGACGAGTTGTAATAATAATAAATAAAAAAAATGACACTATTTGATATTTGCTTTTGCTAGATGCCCAATAATGTGTAACATATTTTATGCACTCTCTTCCTCAGGACAGGATTGGAGTGCCATATGTGCATGATGATTGTCACAATTTGTACAGGCCTGTGAGTGAAGCAGTGTGATGCGAAGGCCCTTCAGGTTCACTGTGGGTGGGGCTGCTGTGCATCATGTAACATGTGCTGGAGTCTGGGCAGAGCCGGCACACACTTGTTAAGGTTTTTTGGATCTGACATGATAGATGTGGTTGGACCTCACTCAGAAGTTCTGTCACTTTTTTAAAAAATCCTAAAACTGGAAACTCTTTGTATCAAACTGGAAGGTCTACGAGTTTTAATGATTTTTATTCTATTCTATTCAAGCCGAGCTGTTTAAATTCACTTGTTTGACATTTTTTCTGACATTGTTGTTGTTGATGTTCAACTAGCATATCACGGAGTCTGTTTAAGTTGGCGCTTGTCAGCTTTCTCTTCTGTAACTCTTGCTTTGTATTTAATCTGCGACATTAGGACTAATCTTGACTTTGACCCTTCTTTATCTTGATTTGTCTGTATTAACTAGCATTACTAACCATTTTCAGTTTAAATCATAGATAATGCACATGGATTAGAAAAGATTTATTTTGTCGTTAGCTGTTTATTGGTGGGCTATGCTCGTAGTGCACTGAAGAGCTTTAAATACAGTGGGTATGACACTTTGTGTGCTGCTCTGACCTTTCTTTGTGTGTTTGACTTTGCACAAACAAGCATTTACATTTACATGACACGCAATGAAGGATTGATTTCTGCACTAGTTGTTTTGACCTTCATGTCTGAACCAACTGCGCTTGATTGATGCTCCCTTCATGTCATACAGACGGACTTTATGGATGTTCATCAGTTTTATTTTTGGATCCCCCTATTTGCACGGTCTGGAGAGCCGGAGAGGGCAGTAATGCTTTTACCCACTTGATGTGGGTGATGCACAGGCGTCCTTTGACAGCGACATACACACAGATTCTTTCCTCTCTCATGCTCTCTGGCTCTCAGTATGACTTCCATCTCTGCCTCTCTCTCTCTCTAACCCATTTCAGCAATCCAATGCTCTCTGAGCCATGCATGTATTAGTAAGAGACTCACTTCATTTTTTGGGAAATGGTGACCACAGTGTCCACAGCACAGGGTCGGAGAGTGGTCATTACACTCAACATACACTCACACAGTGTATGCTGCAGTAATCAAACTCTTTTAATGGCCATACTAATGCTTACTTTCATTATTGATTATTGTGAATATATGAATATATCAAATTGTGAAATATGCCCATGATCATTTCTCAGAGTCAGAGGTTATGTCCTCAAACTACTTGTTTCTTCTGACCAAAACCCCAAAGACGTTGTGTTTACAGATGATAGGAAAACACAGTAAACAGTTGGAGAAGCCGCAGCCACAGAATATTTGTCATTTTTGCTTGATTGAACTCAAAACAGCTTTAGATTAATCTCCTATCAGTTGACTGATCATTTAACCTCCTTCACTGCACTGGGACGAGGCCAGAGCTGTCATAAAAACGCAACCGCATACATTTTTCAGAGTTTGGCTCATTCACTGTAGAGGCCACCTGTGACTAAAATGAATGTTGCATTTGCTGTGCTTCATTTCTGTTCTGCATCTAATTTGGTAGTGTTGCAGCTAAAACAGGTTCAATAACATGACTGTCACTGACTATTTTTAACGAGGCTGTTATTTTCTCTTCGACTTACAGTTCTGAATATAGGCAGAAGTTAAAATGTCAGTTTCGCTTGAGTTTTTTCAAATCGTACTCTGGCACACTAGCGATAGTCATAAGGAGACTTACTGTATATCTCTGATTCATAGATTCCAAGCTTGTTCAGTTTGGCCTCATAGTGCCGCAGCTGTTACTGACTAAATTTGGGGATGTTTTTTCAGGTGGAAGCCAAGGGTTTAAAGGGTGAATCTAATACTTCTTTCAGTTCCGCGGTATTTACATCACAGTTTGGGTTTTTCTGCCTCAACTTTAATATCTTTTTTTTTTTTTTGCACACTTTCAATGATTCATACAGAGTAAAATCTGATGAATCTCCTGCTTTGAGATGCATTTCAGTCTGACAACATCCTCCTGCTGTTTGTTCAGCACCAATAATTTTACACATCACGTTTTCCACACAGCTTTGAACATTTTCTCTTTATTATCCATGAACTAGTAGAGTTTGGACAAAAGATAAAAGTAAGGCACTGCCCACCAAATCAGTTAATTTTTCAGAGAAAAATACAAGCATTACCAAAAATATATTACACTCTTAAAAATAAATATGTGGTTATATAATCTGTATTAACTCCTACGGCCCAGCCTTAGTGGTCAATAATTTGCATATACAATTCTATGCAATTCAATTCTTACAGGACTCATACAAAAATAAGGACCTTTTGTTTATAAGTTCTCAATTTTCATTGTTGAGGACTTTTATAAAGTGTCACACACCATGACATGACAATGTAACAAGGTATTAAAGGCAACATTATGTTGATTTATCACAATTAATATATCATTAGATGGAGTTATCACAGTTCTTTCTATAAAGCTTGTAGTATAATTCTTTATATTAGAATATATTCTGCATGCAATGCTTTCATAATAAACCTCAAACACACACATTCCATCTTATAGTTTTTAAAATTAGAAATATATAGATTTTGTATATAGATAAAAACTAAAAAGAGTGTAACATTCAAATCCTGATAATGCCATTAACTTTCATGTTATCTATGAAAAGAATCAACTTTCTAAACAGATGAAATGAAGCAGATGCATTTTAAAATCGTTATTTTCATCTCCATCAGAGAGCCTCTCTGCCACTCACGCTATGACTGCTTTGAAATGAACATTAGTGTTTTGCCAGGATGGCAGAGCTGCTGATCACAGAGTGAGGATGGTTGGCGAGTGCAGGGAGTGATCTGATTGGTCACCGCTGCTGCTGCTGCGGCGATGAGCGACGCCACAGGGCTGAGGGGCCTGAGACTGCTGGACACTTCCCTGATGTGATGTAACGTGGGACGTGGTGGAGCTGCTGGTGTCTAAAGGGGCAGCGGGGTAAGTGAACACCATGCCAGCTGTGAAGGACATGAGGGAGGGAGTAGATATGAGGATCGGGGTGTGGAGCGACTCAGATTCGGTGACAACAGCAGCGGTAGTCGATGTTACAGGCTTGGTGGGGATAGTTATCTTTGGTTTGGGCTTCTCCATCTTTGTTGGCAGTTTGGTTGAGGGTCCAGGTCTAATGGAGTCCTCTGGCTCCAATTTGATGGCTCCCAAAGTGGAAATTGAAGGATTTGGGTCAGAATCCGAATCCGAGTCCTCTATTTTGCAAATTGGACGGTGCGCTTCCAGGACTAGCTCAAGCTTATCTTTCTCCTTTTGTAAATCAGCTATCTCCTTCTGTAGACGGGATTTTTCATCCTCCAGCTCGTCGGTCTCCTACACCAGAGGAAAGCAGAGAAAAGGGCGACACATTGAAATTCCTTCATGCTTGATTACCTAGCATTTCAAGCCTTAATATTCTGACATTTGTACAATGTTCACTCACAGTTTGCAGAGAATCCGTCAGCTCCCGACGACGATTGCGACATTTTGCTGCTGCCAGTTTATTCCGTTCCCTTCTTACTCTGCGTCTCTCCAGTTCCTCATGGGACAACTTTGATGAGAAAGAGAAGAAAATCTATTACAACACATGAAAAAGGTTGACCTGGCAGAGTGGGTTTAATTGTCTTGCTGTAGGCAAACAACTAACTCCAAAAAATTATGTGTAAAGTGAAATTTGATGAGAATCCATCAAAGGCAACATGACACAGGAGAAATACTACCACCATGTGTGCACACTGAGTCATCACAGTCATGGCGGATGAATGGTTTAGAAACGTTTGAGCTTTTGTGCCTTTGTAACTCTGACTACTTCCAGCGCCCTACTGAATAATTGCTGTTGATCCGATGTTTCCCGCCCTTTCGGGGTGATGAGTCACGTTCAGACTCCAGCGGTGACTCAGGTGTGAGTCACAGAAAATGACATGCCCCTGTGAGTCACATGACAGTCTACTTCCTGTACCATGAAATTACAACTCTGTGACAGGGAGATGTGCCAATGTGTGCCTGATGAAACCACAGAACAGTTGGCTGATTAAAGTGAGGACGTTGTCAGGGCATTCGGCCGTTCAAACACCTAGTTTTTACGCCGCTCTGCTAACTAAAAGCAGATCTTTGCAAACACTGCGTCACATGTGATAATTTTACTATGTCAACAACAACTCTGAGTAAACACCATCAAAGAATATAGAAAGTAACAGTGTGTACTGGCCTCTGGGGTGTAAATGTTCCTTTTTAAAACTATTTAGGAACTGAAAACTTATCTAAACAATGTATACATCTCTAAATAATCGTCCTATTTCTAAATGGATTAATCCGCTTTGCATGTCCAAAGGATGTTAAAAAATTGTGTCACAGACAGGATATTACACACAAGTTACACAAAATGATTGAGCCACTGTCCACACCTCAGTATCTGCATCCCCACAAGGGAAAATATGAATCCCAAGAGGGCTAGCTTTTTGTCAGCTTGACAACTCTCACTTTTCAAACACAACGAATCCATAATCATCAGTGTACTTTCACAGAGATTCTGGCTCTGTTATCATTAGGTGTTACTGTAAACACATAATATATAATGTATTAACAGTAATATAGTATATAATATTACTATCTATTACTGTTATTATGACTGCTGTCTTACATGGTCATCATTCCTGCGCCTTGTTGAAGTCGGACTGTTTGCAGCTGCCCTTATGACCCCTGGTCTGAAAAGATGGGACTGGGATGGCGGTGGACCCAGCGGGCGCGCCCCTGAGAGCGACGGATAAGGAGGCACCGGTGATCGTGAAGGGCCTGGTGGATGCATCAAGGAGGGCTGAACCAGCCACTGGAGGTCCTGATTGGTTGTAATGGCATTGAGGCTTGGTACAAACTGATTGCTGCCTGCCATTGTGAATTTCTAAGGAGGGGGGGAAAAAAAGAAAGATTATAAAAGAAATTTGCAGGCGAAATAGTGGACAAAATAAACGTAGTGTGACATAAGGCCTAAATCAAACATAGATAACAATAGTTAATAAAAAAGTTGTGTTCTATGAAGAGTAATGCAGTGGAAGTAAAGTCAAACATAACTTATGTTAAAGACCATCATGCTAATGGTTGTAATTTTTGTTTGATTCCACTTTACAATTTAAATTACTCTACCAAAATACACATACTATGCTCCTATAACAGCAATACAGATTAATTCCCTTGTTGTAGCCTGAAATTCACATCATTACAGGTCGTTTTACATTGTGTTACATGGATCTGACCCCTAACCTGTTGCCCAGCTTAGTGACCTACCTGCTCCTGCTGTGTGGTTGAGGTGCCGCTGCTTCCCAGAGACAGAGAGTTGGACCCGGAGCTGCTGCTGCCTGTGTACGGCGGGTTGCCTCGTCCTTGACCCCCAAAGCCTCGATACATCCTTTCTGTTTCAGTAGAAAAGAAAATTGAATCCAGCTGCGGCTATATAACCTTCAGGTCTCTCGAAATTACTCTCGGGTTGAGTCTTGTATGTCAATTCAAACTCTGGGCAAGCCCACCTTATTGCGGTAAGTCGGTAGAGTCCACACGGCAACGTTTTCAAGGGGGAGCAAGGAAGGAAATGTCGTCTCGCTTTTTTTTCAATTCGCCCAAAAACGTCCGGAAAAGAATCTCAGCGCAGTCTGTCGTCCTTAGTCATACATCCAGAGTCGGAAGTCTGGGAATGATTGTGAGGTTGTAAACTCTTAAACGGGCACTATAGGTTCACCACGCCCCTCCCGACTTACGGGAAATAGTGTTGTCGAGGATCTCGCACGAATGACACCACGTGCCGTGACGTCATTGACCATATTTGGTGAGAGTTTCCTCCTGAGACTAGCAGCAGGGATTCCTCGGGCAGCTTCACCTCATGGTCTGAAACTTCTCTATGATTTCTGTTTTCTGCTGCAGAGGTGGAAATACTACAACACTTTCCGGCTCCAAGTGGAAGCACCGTCACATTCTGTTTACACGAAAGTTACATTTGATCACTGCAGGTGATAAGGTGAGACAGGGAGACAGACCAGGTGAGCAGCAAATACTAGAGGACTAGTTTAAATACTAGTTTAAATTAAAAATAAATAAATCAAATCTTTCTAAAAAGGTATGAAATTACTATATAAAAGCAGATTTGTTTTCACTTCATCACTGCAAACTTGTATTTCCAAAGCTTACGGTAAGTTTACAACATTTGTATTTATAATAATATATCCTGAATTGTATTTTTATACACTCTAGAAAGTAATTCAAAGGACCTGTTACCACCACTGAATTACATGAAAGGTTGAAAGATAAATATTTTTAATTTATTTGAAATTAAACATGAAGTTGCAAACTTTAATGTGATGGCTTGTGTTGACATGGTAATGTTAATGATTGTGTGAACTCAGTATTGTGTGTACTTTGAACTCATGTTTTCTTGCTAGTTGATTTAAAACTAAATTCACCTTGAAGCAACTTGATGAAATTGGCATGATAAACAATTTTTCATCACCTTGGGTTCAGGATTTAGGTCCCCTTAACACGCCAATACAATTTCAGACTGGTAATTAAAAACACATTTGATTGTCGAGGAAAAGCTCATTTCCCTGATTCAATGTTGTTTGTTGTTTGAGCCTAATTTTATTAGAAGTTGTAACAAGTCAAAAAACCTTGATGCATTAAACTGTTGCGTTAATTAATTAATTTATGTATTTATTTTAAACTCAAACCTTATTTCTGAGAGTGGGACTTTTAACAAAAAGAAAAATCAAAGTCAAAAGACTATCATCAATAAAAAATGACTGACAAACAAGCAGCCACACTCTGAAGAATCATACAGAATAAAATCAATTGATATTATCATTCAAACTTAATGTAATGTCTTACTGTTATTATTTTAGGATACATCTACTTAAAATTTCTATTTTAATGCATAGATCAATTTTGGAAAACAAACATCTTGAAATGATAAAAGCCTTTGCATTTAGTAGTGGAAGTCATTGTAACTGCAGTTAAAGTATAATATCTTATAAATATGGTAACAAGAAATCAGGAACAAAGACTTGAAGTCAATTCTCTTGTAATGACAGTTGAGATAGTCTTAATTCTTAATCATATTTGACATTTGATGGCATTTGTAACGCATGATGAGTTATGAATTGGATTATAAACTGGCAAAGATGGGTGCACACGCCTAATTGTGTTGAGGTTCTTGGCAGTCACTCTCACTTCACAAACCACATCAATGTGCACGCATGCTTGTGGAGATGAGTCAGTCTCAATGGCACAAAGCTGCTCAGTTACTTCACCACCAGTTCCAACGTCTGTTTTTTACTTGCAAGCATAATATCGTACCTAGTAAAGATTCAAAAAATGCGTGCTGTACATTTGGTAAGCTTACTTTGTCACAACAGCTGCTGACCTTGCAGTCCCAGGGGACAGAGTTCCCGGCATTGGCTGATTTCTCCTGGCTGCTGACTGTTGCACCGATGTCTCACATTACTGCTAATTCTTCTCCTGAGAATAGGGACTGTCAATATGTTCTAAGTAGGGAGGTTCATTGTAAAGACAGCCCACTCAAAAAAGTCGTTTTTGAGAGAAGAAAAAGACGATCTAAATATATATAGTCTACACAATAATATACAGATTAAAACACTGACTTGGGTTTCTTTATGTGTCAGAGAACAGAGACTGTGAACAAAAACCGAAACTGCTGAGAGTGACATATTTTTTACACTGTCTATACCTGTTGCTCACTTGACCTATTTGAAAGAGTCTTATCTTTTAAATCTCAACAGTATTACACCCTGTAATAATGAGGACACACATGCTGTTTTTTTTTTTTTTTTTTTATGGTATCACAAGCTGAATTGGGTTAAAGGTGAGAGTCAGATGGCTAAAGTTTCAGGAATGCAGTGATGACACCTTGGTCTGTGTGTCTAATGTGGGCATGTAACAACATGTTAACCACCTATTTTCCTCGAGTTATGCCGTCATTCATCCACTGCCTCTATCTTTTTATCTTTTATTTGATTTGAAAAAGTCTGCTTAACACCTCTGCCCATTTTGATAAATACAAAAAAAAAGTGTTTTGTTTATTTGCATGTGAGAGTGTGAGTAAGATGTTGTTTTCTGCTTCATGCCACATTTTCCCTCCAAAAGTCAACATTTTCTGAGGAGGGATGAAGGAAACTTAGATTCCATTGCATTTTACTCATCCAAACTCACATAAGTCATCCACACCCACCTACCCACCCACACACTCATCCCACACACGCACGTGCTTCAGAGAACATAACACCATTGTCAGGCCACATACACTTGAATATATTTGATTTAGTGGGTGTTGAAATTCACGCCTTGTACAGTTTATGCTCGTGTACAATGGGAAGACCTAGATTATCTTCCTGTGATTGTACAGTACAGTTTTAACAGGCCTGTACTGAGACAGCGCTGATTATCCTGACCACGTACATTCTGTATGTATCTCATGTCTACTGTGTTCATGTTACAATCATTGGTGTCTACAGTGACATGATTTCCATAGTCCAACTCCAAAACTTTCACTGTAAATCCTTGGAAATATTCCTCTCATGTGTGTAAGCCTGCCATACTGTGTAGATGTAGTCGTAGTAAAAATGTGCTCAGATAACAGAAGTGAAAGTACGCACTCTGAATTACATTCCGTACATTGATAATGTGGCTTGAGCAGAAATCCTGAACTGTGAATCTGTACTAACAATTGCTGGCAATCAAATGTTGTAGTAGCAGAAGGGAAAGTATCATACTTATGATATAATCAGCTGCTTAGATAGACAGAGCACAATAAAAGGACAATAATTCAAACACATTAGGTATTTATTCTCATTGTTATCAACCCAGCACGTTCCTATTTGATGGTGCTTTTGATTGATTTTGTAAAATGTAAAAACGGTTACAATTACCTAGTTAATTGCAAGTGCCTTCCTCGTTTCAGGTGTTTATTGTAAGAAAGAAAGAAAGAAAGAAAGAAAGAAAGAAAGAAAGAAAGAAAGAAAGAAAGAATTTAAGTGTAAAGTAGAAGTGTAAAGTGTCAAAATAAAAAGAACCAGGACTTGATTACCTCCCATTTTAACTATTACATTTTTTTTTTAAGTCTCTATGAATAGAGGGAGTTGTACAGATTACAAAGCTCTCTGAGACATACCTATGATTTTCAGTTACATAAAGCTAATTTAACCTGATGCATTAACTTGTGATGAGTATGGCATCATTTGTAGATTATCTGCTAGGTGTGGTGGAGCATTAAGTTATAATTCCATCACATGTTGTTGATTTTGTATAAAGTATAACGCATTCAGATTATATGCAAATATGAAGCAACTCCCAACAATTATGTGTCTCTCACTGTACCTGCATATTTTGAAATCCCTCCATGCACTGTAACTAATCAATTAATCGTCACATGAACATAACCTACTTCAGTCATGAGGGCTACACTGACATACATGGGACAGACAAGGCCGGTTGGTATCATACAAGCCACTGAAAAGCACCACAGCCTGTAATGTCCATGAAGTGGAATCAACAACTTCTAAACTTAGAAATAAACGCTAAGATTCATTCAGCAGAGCAACTGAATGTAAACAAGTTTGGAGTAACTAGAGAAATTAAATAGAACTCCTTCAAAAGCTAAACAGGTTATATAAAACTGATTCAACCAGATGCATTAACTTGTGATGAGTGTGGCATCATTTGTAGATTATCTGCTAGGTGTGGTAGTGCATTAAGGTTTAATTCTATCACAAATGACTAAAAAGTCTTTTTGTATAAAGTGGAAAGCATTCAGATAGAAATATAACGTGCCTCTCAACAATTATTTCTCTCTTTACCTGCTTATTTCTAAATCAATCCACACACTATATTAGTGTACATACATGTGGTGTTATGTTAGTGTTGTTTTCTGCTCAGCTGTAGCTCCCTAAACATCTACCTTGCTACCTCCGCAGCATGGATAGAAGAATAGCTGGGAGTACTAGTATTACCCTCAGCAGTGTGTACTTGTACAGCAGTGTACTTTGTTTTGTGCTTACTTCGGTTTTTGCCACGCAGGCACACTGAGGCGAACCAACCGCCGTGGATGGGTGGGATCAGCCCGAGCAGCCCGACATCCACGTAGCTAGCTACCAACGTTAGCTGTAAAGGTAGGTGTTCTGATCTACAAAATTTTCTATAAATGTTTCATTACCTTACAGAAAAGCTCTGTGGACATCTGTAACGTTACTGATGAAGCTACTCGTGTCGGCTGTTGTGCTGCGCCGTGTATCAGCTGAAAATACGATGTTGTTAACCTAGCTCATTTAGCTAGATAGCTAGCACTCACTGGCAGCAGTCACTAAGTTTATGCGGAGGTTAGCTGGCAGCTAGCAAGTCTGAGTAGGGAAGTGCTGCAAGCTAGCCTCTTGCTAATATCAAGGAATTTAACGCCATCAGTTTTAAATGTGTCACAGCATCACATTGCTTTATTTAGCTAGCTGACCGAAATGCTCATAGAGTTAAAGCTAAGTAAACTGAAATGCAGCTAACGTGTCACTGTTTTTATTTCTAGCTAACGTCAGCCAGCGTTACAATGGACTTGCCACATCATGGGTACCGAGCAAGTAAGTGGAAGTCTGAATCACCATGAACTGCCCTCTTTGCAAACATTTTGCGAAATATTCCTCTGTAGTTTGACTTCCCCCCTTTTTTGGCTAAAGGTAGACATACAGTCAACTGCTGCTGTCTGCTGACTGATGATATTCAGTGAAAGATGCCTGTTTATTAGTAAAACCAACTGAAACGGATGCAGTTTAACAGACCAGTCAGAGCTGCAGCTAACGATTGTTTTCATTATAGATTAATGTGAAGCTTAGTTTTGAGTTGTTTGGTCTAGAAAACTGTGAAAAAATGTCAGGGTTTCCCACAGTTTTATTCACAACCCAAGCATATTCATTTTATTGTCACAGAGGAGTAAAGCAACCAGAAAATATAAAATATTATGAAGCTGGAATCAGAGGATGTAGACTAAAACTTAGCGAATAAATGTGTTTTTACAAAATACATAATGTGTGGAAGAGTGTTTTTTTTTCTTGAAAAAAAAAGATTCAGAATAATTAATTCATTATAAAAATAGTTGACAGTTCAGTATATAATTGACAACCAATCAATTGATCGTTATATGAACATATCCTACCTGAGTCGTGAGGGTTACATTGAAATACACAAGATGGACAAGACCTGTTAGTACAGTACAAGCCGCTGAAAGACACCACAGCCCGTAACATCTATGAAGTTGAATCACCAATTTTCTAAGACTTCATGAAGATAAGATTCACTGCAGAGTAATTGAATGTAAACCTGGGAGGACCTTGACTATCACTCATATAATAATGTCAACACTGAAAGTGGGAAAAAGTTTGGAGTAACTAGTGAAATTAAATAGAACTCCTACAAAAGCGAAACAAAACAGTGTCAGTTAGGTAGCTCCTTGTGGTATCTTGCTCATCACAGAACATTGTTTTTTGGCTCAGAGAATGGCTCAATAACATTAACACATAAACCAATAAGCTTTGCCTTTACTGGGTGTTTATACTTGTGGGTAATTAGACATATCATGAAATTAATTTGAATATGAATTCACATGCTCTCAAATTACTCATCTGTGCCCATTTCTCCACAGCTAAGCAGAGAGGACGTACAGCTGCCCCGACAGACTCAGTCCTGTTTGATGACACCAGCTCAGCAGCACCAGCAATGAACAACCAGGCGTATTACACTCCTGGTTACAATATGGGAGGAACCTCAAATGACATGCAAGGAGGTCCTGGGGCGAACAACCTGTTTACTGACCCAATGGCTAATGCTGCAATGATGTACGGCTCCTCCTTAGCCAATCAAGGGAAGGATATGGTAAACAAAGAGGTGAGGAAAAGCAGTTCTCCTCTATGGCTACTTCACAAAAGCTACTGTGTGATCTGTGTGTAAGGTCATAGTCAACATGGGCCACAGGCTGTTACAATCATGAAATATTAGATGATAAGAAATTGTCATACAAATAACTGCAATTAGCAATGGTATAGTTATTATCTGTTCTTTTTGCCTCTGTTAGTTTTAGATTAATGTTATCAATGCCTTTAATGGCCACTTTTAGTGCATTGAAATGCAATATGTTGAATGGTCCAAGTTCAATGACTTAAGAGAAACAGTTGGTGCCGTGAAATCATAGTTTAATAACAAGGGGGAGTAAATAATAGTAAACAAGGTGGGAATAGTGATGAAAATTTGAACTTTCTGGTAGTTTTATTCGGCTTTTTTGACATTGGTAAATAGAAATGATTCTTGTGATTGTGAAAAGTGATTGCGTCAGCTCAAATTGCTGTCAGGCGATTACGTAATAATTGTGCTAGGGCTAGGCACCGCTTTCTATACCTGCCACAAAAATGAGTCTTGTGTGACTCATTGACAAGTTGGCAACTACACAGAAAAAATATTCGTTTAAATGCACCTCAATCCAATTTGGAACAATTTCCACAAGGTTCTGATGTGTCTCTGAAGCTGCATGGCCAAGAATACAGACAAAGCTGGACTTAAATACTGTATTTTTACAGTATATGTGATAAGATATCACTGTAGGTCTAAAAATCATCTGAAATACAACCATTTTCTTTTCTGCTGGCACAAAGTAAATGTGTTCTTCACTCTTGGTGGCTATTTTTTAGCATTGTGTTTATTTATTTGTCCTCAAAAGTGAACTTTGGCTCTCACAAGTTCCTAATTTATTTTTCAGCACAGAGAGCTACACAAGCACACAGATGTGTTATTTCATTTACATAGTCGTTCTCCAGGAGCAAGTGAATATTTCCTGCTTTTTCATCCACACTCCAGTGCTTCAATAGTGCCTGTATTAGTCATATCCAGAGCCTTTTCACTGTGGAGCCTTTAATGTGTTAGGGGTGTCATTTTCAGGGGCTTTTAATCAAGCAGGCCATTTTCTCCTTCGCTTTTAAATAAATAATGGTTTGCTGATTTTCCTCACATAGAAATGAAAGAAGACAATTTAAATAAATGTCTCACCTGTGGACCGCACATAAATATAATTGATGTTGTTCTACTGGATTGGCAGCTTTGACACATCATGCCAAAATGATGCATAGTTCTGGGGGCGGGAATAGCATTCCTTGAAAATGGCTGTGACTCAACTGTATTTATTAACTTTGGCACACTGTCACTTCTCCTCTGTGAAGGTAATGTTTGCACTTCCCTTTCCTTTCAGATCAGCAGATTTATGTCTGTGAACAAGCTGAAGTATTTCTTTGCAGTCGACACCAGATACGTACTGAAGAAACTTATGATCCTCATGTTCCCTTATACGCATCAGGTAATCTGAGCCATTCGTCCCATCCACTCAGTTCTACATCAGCATGCAGAACAGCACAAAACATTTATTAGGGCTGCGTGATTATTATCTCTGCTATCGTATGTTCAAGCACATATTACATTGAAACCATACACACAAGATAAGCAGCCACTTTATCACTTCTCCAATTTTATTTATGAGCATTATAATGCTGTGACTGCCAGTGTGAATATAGAAGCACATTCCCACACACTAACTTATTTAGATAGTAATTTAAATCAGTACTCCAAACACTACGTGCCCTGATAATGTGTGAACCAGACAAAGTACCAACTCTTCTTACAAGATCAGGGACATGTACTAATGTTTGGCCCAAAACACTGTTTACAGCTGCATATTGATTACAGGCATTATAGTTACATGAAGTGTAGCCCTGTGATAGACTGGCGACCTGTCCAGAGTGTCCCCTGCCTTCGCCCTAAGTCAGCTGGGATAGACTCCAGCCCCCTCATTGTTAATGAGGACAGCTAGTCATGTTGAAGAAGACACCTGTCGTGTTTTTAAAATGTGGCATTTTATCTTGTTTTTACTCCTCTTTTACTTGTGATAAACCACTCTTATCAAGTTTACATCACCTTTCACATAGTGATTGTCAGAACTATATTCTTGTTTGATGAAAGCTCGCTTGTTCCATCATAGGCGAAAAAATAGCACCAAACATCATTTGAATATAACACTGTTGGACTCTGCAGGGTGATTCACACAGTTTCTGTGTTCTTGTTAGGACTGGGAAGTCCGTTACCATCGAGACACACCACTCACTCCAAGACAGGATGTGAATGCACCAGATCTTTACATACCAAGTAGGTTTTCTTTGCACACAAATCATCAATAGCAGAATGTTTTGGGAAGTCTGTTTAATGTATTAAGTATATTTTACTTCTTGCAGCAATGGCTTTCATTACCTACATTTTACTTGCTGGAATGGCCCTTGGCATTCAGAAAAGGTGAATAACTCTTCTTAACATAATTTGTTTTATGACTCAAAGTAAATATGTTTGTGTTAGATAAGCTGAATAAAGAAAATATATTGACTTTATGTGTAGGTTCAGTCCAGAGGTTCTTGGACTGTGTGCCAGCACTGCCCTCGTGTGGATCATCATCGAGGTCTTGGTGATGTTGTTGAGTTTGTACCTGCTGACAGTACACAGCGACCTCTCAACCTTCGATCTCATCGCCTACAGTGGATACAAATATGTTGGGTAAATAGACTTTGGATGCACATATTGTCAAATTAATTAATGATTTATTACTCCAAAAAACAAACGAGTGCAATCGTCACTGTGCCACAGCTGTTTCTCGTAGTGTATTGTTATTAAGCAAACCGTCTGCTAAATTCAAAGATGTGGACTGTTTTATTACCATTCAGCTCAGTGGGGGAAATCCCTTCAGTAATCAGGGCAGTTGTAAATGTGGTTGGGCCCATGTTAACACAGTGAATTTGTCTGTTTATGTCTCCCTCTAGGATGATCTTCACAGTGTTGTGTGGCTTACTCTTCGGCAGCGATGGCTATTTTGTGGCTCTTGCTTGGTCCTCTTGTGCTCTTATGTTCTTCATTGTAAGTACTGACATCAGTCACTACATTTACAAACATGAAGTCTGATGAGAAAACAGCCTTCACTCAGTTACGAGAGCACTACACACTGGACATTTATATTCATACAAATATGCTTTATTTAGTTTCACTGAAGAAATGTGTAGTATTTCTGAGCTCTAGACTATAAATTTTCAGTCCACAGCAGTTTTGCCTTTCTTCACGGTGGCATGTCATCACCACAGAAAAAGTGCTGATTGCCCATTTATTTATAATTTATTAGATTCCATAAGTAGGCCACATATTTATATTTAGATGCTGTTTTCTTTTCTGTTCTTAGTTGTTATTTCCCAGGATGTTTAAAGGCAGAATGATGAAGAAACAAGCAAGGAAAAGGAGACAAAATATACACAAAACTTAAGCCTCTGTACACCAAGCAGTCTGTAGGCGTTTTTGACTCCTGCCACATTTTTGCTCACTGTGGACTCAGTTTTCACTGAAATATAAAGTCTTATACCTCTATGGAAACAGCACAAAAATGGCAAGAAATCTTTTTGTATTGTTTAATTAGTACCATAACATGACCATTTAGTTTGTTATATACCGTCATATTTTCCTGGTAAATAGTAAGGTAAATAAGTTGTAGGTTAAGCTAGTTAGCTTAGCTTTTCACAAAGGCTGTAAATGAGGACACAGTTAGCATGATCACTTGTCGTGAAGGAGACAGTGCCAGGAAACCAGCAGAGGCTCTAGGAACTTACTGCTCTGGGCCTATAAGTAGTCTGGGTCCCTTTTATTCTAACAGTTTTAATTGACTTAATTTGTTTTGTTTGTCTGAAATTGTGCAACATTTAGGTTAGTATTTTTTTGTGTTTAGCTGTACTATAGGAACAAACTGACTTGACTAGTTTAGCTTAAAGCTGATATCATGTAATGTAAAATGTTTCACAGGTGTTGGTACATGGTTTATGTTACCTTTAGACAAAACCCAGCTAGCCACTGGTTTCAGTCTTTATGCGAAGCTAAGCTAACCACCTGCTGGCTGTAGTTTCACATTTTCCCTGCTTTAACTGTCATATCACTAGTCTGGTCGAAACTGCAGGTTTATGGATGTTTCTGCCTCCACAGGTTCGTTCTCTGAAAATGAAGATCCTTCCTTCTCTCTCGTCGGACTCTATGGGAATGGGATCAAGTGCCAAGCCTCAGCTCCGCCTTTATATCACTGTGGCAACAGCCGTCTTTCAGCCAATCATTATATACTGGTTAACATCTCACTTGGTCAGGTGACTGTGAGGTATTTAATAACCTCAAGTCCAAGTGTACTGGACCTGCAAAATCTGGTTGTTGAGTGTTTGTACACCTGCCTTTCTACGCTCTTTTGTCAGTAAACTCAAAACATTTGTAGACATTGTTGAGCTGCCGCGTGTGTTGAGCTTGTTGGACACATTTGTAATGAAATGGCCTCATTGGTTTAACCAGAAAGTGTGACACAGATAATGTCTTGTTGTCCACCGTGATTGTACAGTGACACTGAGAAATGCTTATTTTTGGCCACCTAACTTTGAACATAAGGGTTTTCAATGAAAAAAAATGTTTAACCAGAACTGATTGGGTTCAAGATTCCTTTTATATAATGTCTTTGGACATGCTTTCCAGTATTTACACCTCATGGTACACACCACACAGACAGAAATTCACATTACACACAAGATTCGAGTACCTTTTTTTCTGTTTGTTTTTTTTATGGTAATGTTGCTGCATTATCTCCCTTTCTCTTGTGAATCCTCGATTTTATTTATCTACATTTGACAAAGCATGACAATGTTTGGATTTTTGTAGAAAAAAATAAATATATTTAGCTTTGTGTATTCAATTTGAACTGTTTAAAGCATTTTTTTTTTCTTTTTCTTTTTTTCTCATTTACACTTTGTCATTTAATGTGTTTCCTTTTTAAAGATGGTGCCAGAGCACTGGAGAGAGTTATGCAGTTGTGTGAGGGAGAAATTTATGTTCCCTCAATTACATGTCAGTGGTGAATTATAATTTCTACTCTACTGTATTTAAAGCAAGTATCACCCATAATTATATCTAGCTGTAAAGACATAGTATTGTAAGTGGAGTATCAGGTGTTACTTGCCAGATGTAATTGTCATCTCAAAATACAATGCAATACTAGAAATGAAATTAACCCTCTTTGCCTCAAGTGCTATAATTTAGGGTAATTGTGACTGACTTGCACTTAACTTGAGTATTTCTATTTAAACGCACGTTCTACTTTTTTTTTTTTTTTTTAATGTTCACTGTATTTGCTTGACATTTATAGTCACAACACACATGCATTAGATTCAGATTCTCAGATTGGTGCCACCTCCACCTGCTGGAGTAACACTGAAATACTGTTTAGACATTGATGTCAATCATGTTTCAATAGTATAACATATAACAGTGATACTGACTTTAACAATGGAAGTGATTTTGCTGATACATCTTACAAAGTGGCCAAGAAATAAATTAATTAATGAATACATTAATATATGTATTGATTGAATAACTAAGTTTTTAATTTAAAAATGGTAGTTTTTAAAAGACTGCTTTTATTTATTTTCTGGGACCCCCACCACCACCACATTTATTTCTTATTTACTTATTTATAGGAGTTTTAATTTATTTACTAATTACTACAACAGCATTCTATAGTTCTACTCTTATTTACTGATATATTTAAAAAAAATCTGATTACTTCTTTTAAGCCTCGGTACTACCCACCATTTATAATTAGGCTGAACAAAAAATTCTCTTTAAAGAAAAAGACAAAAGGTGCAAATATACAAAACGCAATATGCTAATAAATGAAAATAAAACAATAAAAGCATTAATAAGCCATCGCAAGACGACTTGCTGCTTGATTCTCATGGCGGTATTTGACATCACGAGTGTTGTGCCCTGCTGTCCTGTTACACGTGAACACTGTCTCTCGCGCCGGCTGGTGTCAGACTGTATAATTGGGGCGGGAGCGCGCCTGTCTGGGAACGCGCACCCCGCGGAGCGTCCTTTTGGTTTCCATGGAGACGGCGGACAGCAACAGAGCGCGGAGGGAGAGGTGTCCGACTGCGACTCTGCTTCTCAACATCAGGATTTCACCTTTAACTTCCCAACTACGGGTTCCGGACCTTTAACGGGAGCTGGTTTCTGCCACAGTCTCCGTTTTGGCGGTTTGGTGAGTAACTAGTTAATATTTTCCATTTGAAAAACTAGCTAATAGCTCCAAGTGGTTACCTGTGAGGGGGGGAAGGCGGCTTTCTTGACTACCTAAATGAAACTTTATATTCTTCCGCCATTTGCTGCTGAACTGCTTTGTAGAACCATGTGGCATCACATACAAACTTTCATAGCGTTCAAAACGGGATTTTACATGCAATATGTTTGTCAAAAGCGTGTAATCGATGTGTGTAGCTTCTTTATAACTGAGATCAAACAGCAGACTTTCTCACAGAGCTGCACCTGCACACTGACTTTATGAAAACGGCACATGTGAACTTTGAACGTTTGGTGGATGTTCATCAGAGGGGAACAGGAGGCAAACATTTAACTGAATCTAGCTATGGTGTTCTGTTTTAAAAAAAAAAAAAAAAAAATTACTTTTCCCGTATATTTTCTATTACATATTTGTGGTCTTGAATACTGCTACCCTGCATGATTGATTTGTTTTTGTTCTGAGATGTAGTTTGTATAGTAAATAAACTAAAAACATGCCTAATTTTAACACACTTTAAACACAGACTCAGAGAAGCAACTGCATTACACTGATCCTTACTGCCCTTCACTGGCTACCAGTGACTTTTACAGATGATTGTAAGATTTGAAAGCCTTGAATGTTCTGGCTATCTCACTATGAATCTGATGGTTGAGATCCTTTGGAAGGGTCTTTCTAATGTGTCCTAATTTCTAATTAGACTGGCTACCTGTGGAGGACCTCAGACAGGCAAACTCAATATCATTTTTAAAACCTTTTCTTAAAATTCAATTTCAGTCAATAATTATTGTATTTATTTAAATAATCTCATCTTGCTCCATCTTAAGCTCTGATTCTAACTACTGTATTATATGGTTTTTTTTGTAAAGCACTTGTAAAACTTGTTTTAATGTGTCATGTCGATTGGTATTTGTATTATTACGGTCTAAGGACCATATTAGTTATTGTTGTCTGACAGACATACTCCATGTCTGTTCTCAAAGAAAAATTTTTCCTTGAATATTGTAAGCTGATCTGTTTCTAAAGCACTTTGAGGCAAATTTGTAATTTTGTGCTAAACAGATTTGATCTTGGTCTTTACTGCCAATGTGCTTAACTCATCTTGCCTTATAGCAGTAACTTTGATTAATTTCTCTTTTATCTTTCAGCAGCACTACAGCTGAATGACCGTGGAAGTTTGATCCTGAGAGAGATGGAGAGCAGCTCTCACTCACTGCCACCCTCGTGTCCCCTGCCAGTCTCTTCCTCGCCCCAGCAGACCTCCTCAAGCGGTTGTTGTTTCTCTCACCCACTTTCCCCTATTTCCTTCCCACCGTCCCCTACATCACTTTCTCCAGCCACAGCAGAGTCCGTTCACTCCTCCTCCCCTCTTTCACACTACACTGCGTCCCATTTCCTCGAAGGACAAAGCATACAATGCCTCAGTTCGGAAAACATATCTGACCAAGATGACCTGACCTGTCTCAGCTGGCTGCATCAGAGAGGGGACCTGCTGCCTCTGCAGCCTCTTGCCAAAATGACACCGCTGGCTCAGCAGGAGTCCTATGCACCCATCCAGCCGCTGCCCCCTGCCTCATCCAAGCCGCCGTACTCCTTCAGCAGTCTGATTTTCATGGCAATAGAAGATTCCCCAAACAAAAGGCTTCCAGTGAAGGACATCTACGAATGGATTGTGAACAATTTCCCCTACTACAAGACGGCCACTGGAGGCTGGAGGAACTCTGTGAGACACAACTTGTCTCTGAGCAAGAGCTTCCGTCGCATTCAGAGGGACAAGAGCCAGGTGGGTGGATAACAGGACAGAATCCGAATCTGAAAGCATCCAACATAATGAAATGTCACACGCTGAATCCAGATGTTCTGTAATGAAAACAACAGTTAGGCCTCCCTGAAGGGAAATTATTGTAATGAACCATGATTTATGGCGGTTACACTCTCTGGTGTGTCAGTGTTGGGACTAAGATCTCCGCACGGGCCACTGCAGTTGGAATGTTTTAAGTGGATTTGTTTGTTTGTTGCAGTCGGTGGGGAAAGGATCGCTGTGGTGTGTGTGTCCAGAGTATCGGTCGACGCTCCTCGAGGTGCTGAGGAAGACCCACAGTTATCACAGCACCAACAGCAACCTGATAAACAAGCCTGAGCTGTGAGTAAGATTTAACCAGGTCAAACAATTTTGATGTTTTTTCTTATTCTTTTACTTTGTGATTTAAAGTTAATTTAGTGCTCAGTTGATCATGATACAGAACTCAATGAATAAAACGCAAACCGCTCCCTATCTGTGAAGCCACCAGCTGGAGCCAGCAAAATGTTTGTCCTACTGTACTCATTACTAAAATAAGCGGTTACCAAAAGTGAAGTAGATGAAGTTTCTGCTGGCTGACTCTTAGACAGACACCAAACTATTAGTAGTAATTCCATTAGTCTATCAGAGAATGACTTAAAATCACTGGAATTTATTTTACGACAAACTTTACAGTCAGTAAATATATAAAATTACCAAAGAAAATTACAGGCATCAGTTTCGTAAATGTGAGAATTTGCTGCCTTTTAGTTAGTTTGATTTTTTTTAAAAATTAATTTAAATAGAATATTTTCGTATTTTTTACTAAAGATGGAAGAGAATGGAGCTCTTCACACATCTAACTGATGAGACAGGTGTGGAGGAGACAGATGAGCAGATCAAAAAGCTCCTGCACACTGTTTAACTTGCAAATATATGTTTATTTGTGACATCTTGGTGCTAGACTTTCATCACGCAAAAGGTGACAAAGAGGAGCCAACCTGAATGGATGGGAATGACTGTAAACCTGCAACCAAGCACATCCTCTACACACTATAAGGAGAAGGGACAATTTCTAATATGAAATAGAAGGTTAGAAAAGTAAAACAAACATAGATGTATCCAAAAGGGTAGATTAGAAATGCATTGTAAAATAACAAACCTAGTTTTTATCATTTTTATTTTTTTTTATAATTATTAACTGATTTATTTATTAATATAATCCAATATAAAATAATTATTTGCTGTTGCCGTACAAACTATTAATTCAGTGATTAGTTTTCTGTTAATACAGTATATTCCTGTGGATTGCTGTTGTAGCATATCAACACAATATAATTCACCTGTCATGGCTTTCTGAATAATTTTACTTTTCAATGAAACTCTCTTCTTATTAAAAAAAAAAAAAAAAAAAAAAAAGTCACCCATATAAACATTTGCACAAAATTGTATGTTGTGTGCAGGTTGGATGGAGCTGACTATGAGGTGCCCGCAGTGTGTGAATCAATGGAAATCTCAGGTTAGTGACCCACATCAGGTTCGTGCCTCTTAATTAGCACACAACTCTACATATGTGACCCTTTATGAATTTGTTTTAGCCGACAGTGTTTCATCAACGCAGTAACAGCCCTCTGTGACACTTTTATTACCTGCAGTTTTTCTTCCGCTCTGCAGCTTTCTCAGCATGCAACATTGTTCCTGTGTTTGTGTTCGGTTGTCATGGCAACTACCCTCTATTACCATGGCAACCCAGCAATAGCCTCCTTTATGAGTCCCCTCGTTTTATTTCCGACCCTATGCGCTATATGGGCCCATGTACGTGTTGAAGAATCTGGCCAGTGGCTCAAACAATCAGCCTGTATGCAAACAAGTTATGAATTTTGATGTTTTGTGTCATTTCTATGTTTGTGTTTCATTTTTTTCTCATGCAGATGCTCTTTCTCACACCCTGCTCCTCTCTGCGTCCTCACCCCAAATCCTCACCTCTGACAACCCAACCTTCGCTGAGAACCCCTCGTGCCCTTTGACCCCAGATCACGAGGAACTTGTCACCATGGAGTCGGTTGACTACCAGCAGGAAGAGGTTTGTGAAGACATGGAGAAGGATCCCCTGTCAGACAGCGGGTACATCGAGTTACACTATTACCAGTCTAACCAGTACCAGTACCTGGTGCTGCCCGGCGACACTGAGCTGGACCTGGAGACTGTGGAGATCTTGCAGCTTGACGCTGAGGCCCAGGAGGCTGCTGGGTCGCTGCTGGACCTGGCAGGTGGTGGATATTAGTTCATATTTAACAGTTGCAGGTGAATGCAATGCTTCAGTCCACAGTAAGCAAACACTCCAACAAATCAGCACAAGTTGGGATTTATGTTGGTTCTTCCCGACATGTTGTCACTGCCCTGAAGCTTGTGTATTGTTCTGTAGTTTGATAACAATATAGATCAACTTTACTGATGGACTAATTTAAGACTATGGATCACATTACTTCACATGTATTCAGACACTTTCAGTGCACAAGCTGAATTTAGCAACATATCAAATTTAAAAACATGGACAAAATTACATCTGAAACTGAGGTGAAAGTATTAATACAATATGTTGTCTGGGTTTCACTGTGATTTTCTGACAGAGTAAGTTAATCCTCAGGGCTGGAAGGAGTGCTTCCAACTCAAGTAGAAGTACTGTTTTTTGAAGACATTTCCCAAGTTAAAGTGTGATCTATACACTGTTAAAAGTTGTACACAAAGTTGCTCTTTAGAGGAATACAACAACCAGCACACTGACTCACATCCCCATTTAAATGTGTTACCAACCTTCTCCAGTTCTTCAAAGTGGTGAGACCTCTTCTGTATAAGGGAGTTTTTGTAGATTTAATGAGGAGAAAGGTATATTCACATATCTCTCCCTTTACCACTGTTACTGCAAGCTTTTAAGGAAAATGCTGTCATTCTAAACATAGTTGAGTATAATGCTTAATTAAAAAAATATTTAATTTCTAACATAGTTGCAATTGTAGAATGTACTCAATACAATATAATGACAATAACATATATGCTTCCAGTTTTACTTTTCTTTAAAAAGTATTTTAAAAAGCAATACCCACACTAACTATGTAATGCCACTACAGATTTTCTGTAGACTTTGTTCAGAAAACATGTCTGTCCTGGATGCTGGATGCTGCACCGTTTCTAATAGAGGGGTAACAGGTTATCAGCCTGGCTAATTCTTGGAAGTGATATTCAGCATTTTTCCAATAGTCAGGATTCAATAAATTACTTATTTGGCTCCGATGCAGCCATCTTTCTCTGTCTGTATTGACCAAAGGACTATCCGACAAGTAATACACCACAAATAAAAACACTAAAGGATAAACTTTTAAACGTTTCTTTTAATGAAATAAATATAAAGCACAAATTATATTTCATAAAAGTTTTGTGTTAGAATTGGCCGTATTCTCAATTTTAACACCACAATTTAAATTTTAACTTCATATATATAATGGTTCTAAATATCAGGGTACCTGTATTAGTACCAGCACTGAAAAATGACATATTGGTTGATGGCTAGTTTCTAAAATGGATAATTTGGGACAAAATAAACTTATTTAATCCTTACAGCACTAACTTTGATTATGTCTGTCATATCTTTTAACGATACAACTGAATGACCTGGGAAGTTTCTTTCTAAGAGACAGATTAAGCATCGACCTAATGAATGCCTTTACACTCCTCTTTTTTCACATTATATTTTTCACATTAGATTTCCCGTACGTGATGTTACGTTGTAGAATCCCTGAATGTTTCAGTTTTCTGTGGATTTGAATCTGTGTATATGATCTTGTAAACTAAGCTGTCGTCAATCAGGAATGGTTTTATTGGAATCATTTTGATAAATCACTGCCATTTGAACCACTTGACATTTCAGGGTACACCAAATTCCTGTGTAAATTGTATGTATTCTCAAAAGTTGTAGCTTTTGTAATCTAACAAATAAAATCTGTCATGCCGTTCTTGTGAAAGAAAATCGCCTGTTGTTATGTTGTGGAGCTTTTTCACCCTCATCTGGTTGTTCTTTTAAAAAAAATGTTGCAGGATAAGTTTGGCGTGTGTTTGGTATCTGTGGAATGTGTTGTTTACATGTATTACACCATTAGAGGGTGCAACACTCACAGACAGCAGGACTAAATACAGTCTACCACACTTTAGATAATCAAACAAGCTCCTGTTACCAGGCTACAGAGTCTGCTTCATCAGTGAAAATCTATCTGTAAATGCAAAACACCTAAGCCGTGTTTTACATTACCTGTCCGGTAGTTCCGTATTCGTAACTCAGCATTAAAAACTACATTTCCTACATATGCTTATAAAAAAAACTACATTTCCTGTCTTTATGAAACAAAATTGGCACACTGGGGTATGTAGTTCATAGACAGACTACAGCAAGAGCAGTAGGATGGATTAAAACTACACTTCCCATGAGGCGTTGCGCAGGCTGAAGGCGGAAGTGCGAGTTTCGTGGTGGAAAAAAGTTCTCATGGTTGTTTTCATGCCAGTGTAAAAAGTTACGTTTCAGTCGTTTGTCGACTCTCATGAGCGTGTGTTGAAGCCGTTTGAAGACACCAAAGGTAACATTACACCGTGAAACACGAGCTAAAGCTAAGAGATAAGTTATTTAGAGGGTCTTTAAATATTGCTGCAACGTTCGTCTTTTCAACTCCTTTAACATACTGACGGATACATGTTAGCTCTTGTTTTTGTTCTAGCACAAACAGCTAAGTGTGACTGGCCTTAGCTTACTAGCCGTTAAGTAATAACGTTAGCATGGTAGCTGTGAGCTTTAGTTTTCTGTTCAGCTTATGTAAGACATCCACGTTAGCCTTAGTTTGTTTAGATTCGCTGTACCACGCACCGCCAGCGAGAGGCGAGATAAAGTAGGTAAATTAGAGAAGGTGTTGTGCATTGTAGGTTATCCTTTGCAGTATATTCTCGTTACAAAATAGTGGCAGATTATAAAACATGGTTTTGTCAGAGCTGCAGTGTTTGCTTCATTGCATGAAGTCTGTCCAACCGATTCACTGCAGAGAAATGGCTGGCATGCTGCTCCTCACTGCCACACCTTTGAGGTGGTGAGTTTTGGTTAAAGGAGACAGTTGTTTCTGGGTGTTATACAAAGACGATTACTTATTATAAAGCACCACCCTGTCCTACTCATCATGGGAGAGCACATATTTCCCGGGAGGCAGCAACAATGACATCCTTTGAAGAATTGGAAGCACGCTGCAGGCAAAGCAGCATGACAGCCATAAGAGCAGCCCACAGTCAGCTTTACACAAAGATAAATATTGTCTCTGATGGAAAGATCAATGCGTGTCGGATTTTTATTGATCAGAGGGCAGAGGCGAAATGATATTTACTGAGGAAACAGCCTTGTATGTGATCATCATTCAAATTATATATCTTGGAGAAGATCAGAAGATTCTCAGCTGCACCACTCAACAAATTGATCTGTAAAGATTTAGTCCATTAAACCTACAACTGACTGTTGTCATTATTGATAAATACACCGCTGAAATATTTCTCTCTTCATTTTCCTGTGGTCATGTTTATATTGACTGATTTCTTTTTTGGTGACAGAACCATTAGTCACTGATAAAAAAAAAAAGAATACTGAGATCAATAAATGCTGATCAATTTGTCAACTGAATGATTACATTTCATTAAACTCAAATTCATTTCAAATTATTGTTAAATCAGACAATCAGACAAAAATTGTTAATTTTTATTTTTATTTTTTTAAATTATTTATTGTTTATTGAAAAATTTCAAAGGTTCAGTCTTCACAGATTCTATGCAGGTTACAACGACAACACTAATCCAAACATGGACTGATGGATCAATAATAAAAAATTGGTCATCAGTTGCCAGTTTGTACAAAAAAATATGAAACCTCTCTTTCTGTCGCCTTCATGCCTGTATAGAGTTAGATTAGTCGTATCGGTGACTGTGACTGCCAACTTTTTGTTGCAAATCTGGCAAATTTCTATTTCCATGTTTTTGCCTTCTTTTTTTTTTGTTTTTTTGCCACAAACCAAAATGTGCACAAACTAGTTGTAGTTGTAAAATGAATTTAAATTTAAACCTGATGTGTTTTGTGCGATTTTTACAGGGACCAGTACCTCTGAAGAATGGGGAGTGAACCAGGCCCAGTTCAGATTGTCACAGTGTGTAAGGAGGAGCACTCCTTTGCACTGGATACGGAGGCTTTGGCTCGGGTTCTTTTGGCTCCGGAGGTCCGAGACAAACATGTGGTGGTGCTGTCGGTGGCCGGAGCTTTCAGAAAAGGGAAAAGCTTCCTGCTTGATTTCATGATCCGCTACATGTACAGAAAGGTGAGCTGCATTGGAACATGATCTCTCAGTGTTTCACTTCTTTGGACATCATATCTTACTCCAAGTATCAGTCTAAGTTCACACATGTTGTAAGTACATGTTGCAGCAAGGATGGACAGTAATGTGGTAAGGCTGCATGTCTATTTCTAAAAGGGATTTTTCAGGTTATCACACTGACTTGTTCTTCTTTTTGTGTTGAAGGTGTGATAACCTGAAAAACCACAAATAGAAACAAATATTCAGTCTTACCACGTTAATGCCCATCCCTGCTGTAACATGTGAACTAACTAGTTTATTAAAAAGGATTGATTTAGTCATTATCTCCATTAGTGGGTGGAGTCTGTGAGACTGCTCTGTCTTTGTCATTCTGTTCATATTTTGAGACCAAACCTAATGCCTGAAATTACGTCGACTGTGCTCATTGATGAATCTCACTGATTTTGGTAACTCTATTACTTCTCCTGTAGTGCCACCATCAGGCTCTAACTGTGACTACCACAAAACCTTGAAGTGCAGTTAAACAAACAACTAAAGGAGGAGATAATTATGACCTGAAAGTTCTACACTCCACTATGTACAGTGAATTATGTACAACAGTGTGAATTTTGATTTACAAAGCAGGGTAAAATGACAGAATGAATGACATCTTAGAGTTCTTGAAGTTTTATCGAAAGCCTTCAGTCAGCTTTCCCCTCACTGTTGTTCAAAGAGCATTTGTGTTTCTGCAGAGCGATGAAAACTGGCTGGGTGAGGACGACGAGCCTCTGACTGGATTTTCTTGGAGAGGTGGTTCAGAACCAGAGACAACAGGCATCCAGCTGTGGAGTGAAGTTTTCCTTGTCCAAAAGAGCGATGGAACAGAGGTGCTCACACATTTAAACTTATTTCTATATCAGACAAGAGTGCGCAAGGTAAGTATTAAACTACAGCAGAGAAGGAATGCAACGATCACCCTGTTCATTTAGGACAGTGAAGATAGTGGCGTCCTCCTAAAATGTTGCCACAGACCGTACCCTACTTGCACAATCTACCTCTGAAAAACAGACACACAAGTGCTTGAGACTTGGCACAGTGATTGTCAATGGAAATCAGAGTTTCTGCAACAGCTCAGACAGTGTTAAAGACATTGCATAACATCCGCCTCTGGGTGACGTCTAAGAATAAAATGCTTGCATGCCCTTTGGCACAAAATTGTTAGATTAAGTTTTCCCAGAGAACATGAAAAAAAGCCAATTGAACAGTCTTTGGTCAGATGAGACCGACATAAATGTATTCAGATGGGGTCCAGCGTGTTTGGCACGAACCAATTAGAATGAATGCATAGTTGTGACAGTGAAGCACTGAGGTGGGATGTGATGATATGGAGCTGCGTGACAGCAAAAAGTTTTGGGGAGATGACATTTATAGATGTCAACATAAACGCCTGTGGATATAAAAAAAAAAAGAAAATACTGGCTGACAAGATGACTTCCAGTCTTCAGAAGCTTGGCAGTAAAGAAATATTTCAGCATGACAATGATCCAAAGCTCACTGCCAAAATCACATAAGAGTGCCTTAGGAGTAAAAAGTGAAAACTATGACCTGGCCAAGTATGTCGCCTGACTTATATCCAACAGAACACCTCGGGGTATTTTAAAGAGAAAAAAAAAGCAACACAACCTCCCCAGCAAAGAGCAGCTGAAATAAATTGTCTCTGGCAGAACACTTTTCCAGAAATGTGAGTGTCTCAAACAATTAGAAAATCTTTAAAAAGTTAGTTTTCCTTCAGCTTTTATTAAGAAAGTGAAAATGTAATATATTCTTGTGTTATTGCACTTAAGGTGAAATATTTCAAGCTTTTTTTTTCATTTAAGTTTAGATGATTAGGGCTTTTAGCGCATGAAAGTTGTAAAACTAAGTATTGAGTGCATAGATAAGCATTCTTTATTGGAAGCTGGACATTTCTGTATGTAAATCCTTATTTTTATTTGTCTTAGGAAAAATGCTAATAATTTGAGATAGTGGATTTCTGATTTTCGTGACCTAGAAGCCATAGTCATCAAAGTTAAAACAAGAAAAAAAGGCTAGAAATATTTCAATATTAAAGTTAAAATTAAATTACAAAAACAAAAATTGAGATTCGCCAGTATGTGCAGCGCTGGAGTCCTCTCTGCTGAGGATAATTGACTCTGTACTCAAAAATACAGGTATTGAAAAAATAAAACATTTGATTTTGAATCTTTGTTGCACTGAGTTCCTGCTCAGGGGCCTGTATTTTTAGAAGCAATGCTATATATATATATATATATAAAAATAAAACATTTGATTTTGAATCTTTGTTGCACTGAGTTCCTGCTCAGGGGCCTGTATTTTTAGAAGCAATGCTATATATATATA